TGAAACAATTAGAGTTTCAATTCTTATACTCTTCTCTTTAATATCATAAGGTCAAATGCAATTGAAAACAAACAACGCATCAGTACTGGAAATCAATGCGTCTTGTGAAGAAAACAATCAATTTCGTCAATGGTATACTCTAAATTCAAGAAAGTAGATATAGTACAATATAATTCAAAATAATAAGACCTTCTGTTTATATGTAATATTTATTAGGTTGCGAGCACATGACAAGCATATGAATTTGCTTGAAATGTCGATGAAACAAAGGATGAAGGATGTCGAAGTTGTGATCTTACATCAAATTCTGTTCAATCGAGACGAGCTCAATAAGGTAAATAAGATAAACAAGTAAAATAAAGGTCAATTTTTTCTTGTAAATATTTCTATGTGTGAACGACAACATTATCTTGACGTTAAATGGGAAAATTGTCGTATTAAAATTCTACACTTAATATGATTGTATAATATTATATAGATGCACTAGATAATATTAAATTGTTTAACGGTGAATGATTGAGTGATTGACGGTCCTGTAGCTCTATCTTTATGTAAGTGGGGGCTTTAAACTCTTGGTCTAATCATCTCAATTAATGGGTCTCTCTCTCTCATGTGGAAATCCCTTTAAAGAATAATGGGTGTTTTGCTTTTTTTTTTTTTAATTTTTATTTATCCTTTTTCTCTTGTCTGTTGTACTATTTGTTCCTTGAGTTATTCTGGGTTGTTATTCTTGTTGTTGTTGATAATGTTAGTAAAGATGGAAGATGAGATATTTAAATATATTGAAAAAATAATTAGTTTGCAGTAAAGGAACATATTTTATAGTTATTCAATACTGTTATTCATATCTTGTATAGATGATCATATTTTGATGCAAAGATGATATCGCAAATTCTTAGTTATGATATACTTTACATACACTTCAAAGACTGTCCTCTTATTGTTGGACTTCATGTCATGAGATTTATTTACCAAAGCATTTATTCTATTTTTTTGCCTCCATTAGCATCTAAATGGTACCATATAGAAATGTCTCAAAACTTTTAATCAAGAAGAATCTTTTTCAATTTTATTTGCAATATTTTCCAATACTTTTGTTTTCATCACAGGAAAAATATTATTCTTTCAAAGGATACGTGGATAAGGTGATGAATAAATCATCTTTGTGGTATGAATCATGTAAAAATTGTGCCACCGCAGTTGTGAAGACCGACAACGGCATGTCATGCAAAAAGTGCAATAGCAAAATCGAGGAACCAACTCCAAGGTATTAAGCATAACAAAAACATTGCATTTAATATTTACGTACATAAAAACATTTACAAAAAAATATACAATCATTGCAGGTATAGGTTGGTATTAAACGTCGTGGCAGATACCCACAATGCGACAATAACTTTATTTGAGGAAGCTGCAATGGTGTACATTGGGTGTCCGATTAATGATTACATCAGATCAATTGAGCAGGTGAAATATATACTCATTTTGAAATTCACATTAATCGTCAAGTATAATATTTATTAAACAAATTACTTTTCAATGAACATTAGGGGAAGAATTATCTGGATATTACAAAGGGTTGAGCTTACAGTCAACATTTGAGTTTCAATTCCTCATTCCAGTCGATAGTAAGTCGTTCAACTCAAGAAGAGAATTCAATGCGGTGGCAGAGGCAATTGCAAGGACAAATGATGAGGAAATGAATGATAACCAAGAAAATTCTCTCCAAAGCCCTACTGGTCTGGATGTGGATAAAGGCAATTCGTCAAAGAGGACCACCATCAGAAAGAAGCGATCAATCAACAAGATAATAGAAGATGAAAATGATTCTGTTGTTGAAGTTGAAGATCATGAGACAATTAGTAGTATTAAGAAGAAGTGTGCAAGAAAAAGTACAAAAGCAAAAGGAAGGAAACCAAGTGTGCAAGAAAAAGTACAAAAGCAAAAGGAAGGAAACCAACTCCAATCGTCAAAATAAAAAAGGAGAAGAATTGAAGCAACAGTAAGGAGAACACTGAAGCAACAGTAATTCGTATTAGTTCCTTATTTAGTTAATTCTCTATTTTATAGACGATTTGTTTTTGCGTAATAAGTTATTTGCTTTTTAATTTAATTTTAAACATTTCTCTTTTGAATATTTATGAATTCGTAATTTCATATATTATTTCATTATCTTCAAATCCCCACTTAATATAATTTAGTACAAAATAGTAAGAAGAAAATAGAAAAATTATTGCAAATAATGTTATGCACAACTATGCATCTCAAAACAATAACACAAACTTCATTAACCATTACATAAAGAAATATTCCAAAACAATTTCTAATTTTGCTAACTACTGAAGTTCTATTTTGGTATTATTGCTCCTGCATTTTCACATGTCATAATATTTAGGTCCGTACATTTAAATTCAAGAATACATCACAATAAACCTGTTCAATTCTATATTCAAGTTATTGTTATTTCATTGCCAATTCTATATTTAAGTTATTGTTATTTAAATTGATTACCCTGTTGGGGTCTTTGTGTCGTTTGTTGTGTTTTTGTAGTGTTTTTATTACCCCTTTGGGGTCGTGGTCGTGTAGTTGGTCTGGGTTGTTTGAGTTTTTATTCTAG